ACACATACAGTTGAAGTCAGAATTATTAGCCCCCTTTTGATTTTTTTTTTTTTTTCTATTTCTCAAATGATGTTTAACAAAGCAAGGAAATTTTCACATTCCACATTTCACATTTTTTCATTTGTTTTATTTTGGCTAGAATAAAAGCAGTTTTTAATTTTTTAAAAACCATTTTTGGGACAAAATTATTAGCCTCTTTAAGCGAATTTTTTTTTCTGTATAGAAGTGTCTTGAAAAATATCAAGTAAAATATTATTTACTGTAATTATGGCAAAGATTACATAAATCAGTTTTTAGAAATAAGTTTTTAAAACTATTATGCTTAGAAATGTGCTGAAACAATCTTCCCTCCATTAAACAGAAATTGGGGGACAAAATAAACAGGGGTGCTAATAATTCAGGGGGGCTAATAATTCTGACTTTAACTGTATATATATATATATATATATATATATATATATATATATGTGTGTGTGTGTGTGTGTGTGTGTGTGTGTGTGTGTGTGTGTGTGTGTGTGTGTGTGTGTGTGTGAGAATATATTTATATTATAATAAATTTAGTTTTTTTTAAATTAAGATAATAGATTATTCACATTTAACTTTAAACATCAAAAATATTTTTAATTCAGAAAAAGATATTCAGGTCAATGCATTTAATTAATAGCCTAATAACAGCTAGCTGTTATCTAGTGTTCGTTAAATATACAATATAAATCTTTTCTAAAAATCAAAAGTTTTCTTTTCAAAATTGTCATGTTTTAATGATTTTTAAAAAATTATATCAGGATACATCAATCACTCCAAGATTAAGTGGTCACAATTTACATTACAGGTTTCATTAATTTATTAATTTACTCACATAAACCAACAATAAACAAAATATTATTGTGCTGCATTTATTAATCATAGTTCAACATTTACTAATGGATTATTAAAAAGAAATCATGTTTGTGAAGATTAAAACTTTAAAATAACAAAAAAACAACTTTATTTCCATTAACTGTTACTATTCATTAATGAATGCCATAATAAATGTATTGATCATTGTTTGTTTTTTGTTAGTAAATGCATTAACTCATACAACCTTATTGTAAAGAGTTACTGATTCATAAAAAATTAAATTATGCAGGATATAAATCAATATTCAGCAATAAATAACACTTCAGTTTATGACCATTTATAGTGTAATACCTAACAGTTCACATTTATAGGTAACATTAACAAACTACGAATAAGTTAACAATAATATGTATAATATGTATATTATATATAACATTATACAATGTATAATGTTATAATAATTCATGTGTATAATTGTTATCACTAGTAAAAGCAGCAATAAACTAGTTTATTAGTTCATGATGCCCAATGCAATATCTAATGTTTAATGAACTAAACTTGTTAAGTGTTACCCCTTTTTCTGATCTATAAGGGAAGGGAATAGGCCTTTATTTTGACACAACATTTAAATCACAAGTCCATATTTTCACCAGTCACTAGTTTCACAGACATGTGTTTTTTTCTTCAGTAGCTTCCTTGAACTACAGAAGCTACACATCAGCCTTGACTTTAGTGCACATTATTGAGAGTGTAAAGCATGAAGCCCGGCTGTTAACTCTAAACTGTGCTGTTTACATTTTGCTGCCTTTCTGTAAATGATACCGTATGAATGCTTAAAGGGAATTTCCACTTTGGATGTAAATTATAAATGAATTAGTGAGATACTGCTATAGTGGCTTTCAGATCGTAATGTTATCTCTTTGAGATGCTGTAAAATACACTATTAGCTTTTGTATAGTTTTGTTATTGACTTCAGAGTGCTTGAAAATGAAAATAACACTACACTTGTAGATTTTTTAGGACTTTTTTTTCACAAATCAAACTAACCCGAGGGACTTTTATTACAATATTTATTATTATGTATCATTTTACCAATTATTGCATATCATTTCAAAAATCCAAGTTATGGCATCTGAGCCTTTATATAATCTTGTTGTTACTTGCACAAATGTTTGGATCATTTTGTATTCTGGTTAAAGATGTTACTTTTTCTTTCCCTCTTAGAAGCTAAATTTGAAGCTTAATTAACTTGAATATATTTATTGTACTTATTTACTGATGTTGGGTATAGTTGACTTATTAAAGACACAAATTGAAAGCCATCCTCTGATTTCTTTCAAATTTCACAAAATATTTTACATTTGCTTTTTGTCAGACAAAAAAAACTATATATATATATATATATATATATATATTACATTATAATTTAGCCTCGCACACAATACTGTTTATAAAGGTCGCACTGGCAGGTTTTTCTGTTGCACTGCTCAAAATGCCTTTGTTATTTTATAAACCTCTCGTCTGTCATCTAGTGGTCATAGAAAAGTTTACAGCATTATGAAGAATTGAATTTAACTATGAAGATGTATGCGAAATATTTGAGTTATAGAGTTATATTATTCACTATATATATATATATAATATATATATATATATATATATATATATATATATTGGCATTGATTTTGTTCCATAGATTCTGTTGAGATTGCATATCAAAATATGTATCCCATCCTCTGAGTAAATATCTGTTTTTTTCTTCTTTTTTAAATATAATATTTATAAACCAAAGATGGCATTTGCCACCAATTTTGCCTTTTCCTGACAGGCTTTTGCCACTTTTTAATGTATTACAATGAAACCACAGTTGCAATTAAGTCAATTCTTTGACACAAAGTTATAGTTATGAGATGTTAACTACAGTAACTACACGAAAGAAAGTCAGATTTGTGGATGAAAAGTAGCAATCACTTTTTTAAAAAAAATCTGTGCAAACAAGCTTCCAAAACAGACCACATTGAATCTTTAAAACCCCGGGTTTACCCATAATTAAAATGAAATATTTGCTTTTAATTTACTCAAAAAAGGCTGTTCAATATGGGTGCTTGGGTGGCTTTACTCTTCACCAGAACATTAAAGAAGAGTTTTAGCTGACACAGAGCTCATAAGATGCAATAGCCTAAATATCTACCAGCACTTTGAAGGGCATAAAAACCTTCCAGGTGTGCAATCATATTTAATACAGAGAGCTCTGGAAATAATAATGAATAATTATATAAATAAAGTGGGGAATTTTACTCAAAAGTGTCATTTACTTACAATTTACGAATCATAAAGGACAACATTTTTTTCTTTCTTTTGTCATATGATGAACAAGTCACCAAAAATGGCTTGCGGGTGAAACAATTAACAACATTTTTTTTTTGCTAACTATCCCCATATGCGCCCGAGTGTTCTGTTCTCCACTAAATGAAAATCCCGCCTCCGAATCACGCCATTGGTTGAGAGTTTACTCCTTAGACAGTCCAAGTTATGCGATTGGCTCTGATTATAATTATTTGAAGGTTTTTGTACTTCTGAGAAAAGTTAGATTACTTTGTTAGAACGGCTTTTTGCTAATATTTGACAAACGTCTAGACCACATCTTCTATTTCAAAAAACAACTTGTAACTATAAATTCACGCTTTAACCATAGACTGTAAAATACATTTAACAGTACAGTAGTGTGGGTCAAATATTCGGAATGTTTACTGATGAGCGAAACCGTGTCGAGACTTCGCGGACGATTTAATCCAGACTGTAGTTTTGTTTAGCTCTGGTTCTGGGTTTCTCTCCGCCCCTCCTGCTCTCGAGCAGCAGCAGCAGCAGCGGGGCTTCCCAGTGTGTGCTCGCAATTCGGGATGATGACCGCCCGGCTCTCCTGCTCGCTCAGCGCGCTGTTTTTCCTGTGTCTGTCTGGATGCTGGAGCTCACTACTTGCCGCTCCACGACTTAACGACACAGGTGAGATTTGTAAATCAACTTGATGTTTCTGTTTTCTCATTTTAGTTTAAAGTCTCAGTAATTCGTTTGTGTCGTTTTTATGACTTGTTTATTTGAAACTTTGTTAGTTTTACTGAATGAAAAACAAAACAATCCTGTTAAACTTCATTTAGTTTATAACTGCATTTAGTTTATATATATAAATATAATTACATTTTTTAAACTTCATTTTTAGCAAAAAAATTATCTTGATGTTATTTATGAAACTAAAAAGAAAACTAACCAAAACAGAAAATGTAAACCAAATAAAAATAAAATACACTTTTTAAACTTAAGCTGTATAGAAGTGTCTTAAAAATATCTTATAAAATATTATTCACTGTCTTCATGGCAAAGATAAAAGAAATCGGTTATTTGAAGATAAGTTATTAAAACTATTATGTTTAGAAATGTGTTGAAAAAAATCTTCTCTCCGTTAAACAGAAATTGGGGAAAAAAATAAACAGAGCGAATAATTCAGGGAGGCTAATAATTCTAACTTTAACTGTATATCATAAAAAAATATATCGTTATCTCAAAACTAAACAACAATATTGCATTTTTTTCAGTATTGTGCTTTCCTGTAAAAATATCAGTAAATTAGCAGTTTTACATATTTTGTGATTTGTTTTTATTTTTATTTTTCGTTTATTTGTGCTTTTGAATTGCATTAAGAGACTTTGATTTTTCTTCCAACAACTTTTAACCTTGAAAAGTTTGTAAAAAGTGCCTTTTTAAACATTTTTAATAGTTTAAAGTGATAAAATGTTTGCATTGTAATACACTAAATGTAATACGCTACCAGTACATTTTCTGTTATTTTACACTCTTATTTCTCTCTATATTTTATTTATTATACATTATATTATTATTTTAAACTACTACAATGTCAATAAAAGACACTTTGTTAAACTGTGGAATTGTTTTTTCAACATCAAAAGAAAACCCTTTTGAATAAAAAAATATGGAAACTATTAATAAACAGATATTGTTTACAGTGTATCTTAGCTGCTTTTGCATTTGAAGCAGACAGATATGGATATGACATGAAAGTGTGAGACACACACTACAGATTTACTGACTGACAGATGCTAAAGGATTGTTTTATTAATATGGTGTGTATTTGCGCAGTGCTCCTTCACTGTCCGGGGAAGCTGACGGTGATGCCGTCCAGTCGAGGATGTGCTTCAGACAGAGACTGTTCAGGAGGACATAAGTGCTGTGTGTTTGACTGTGGAGCTGTGTGTGTCCCACCAGCTTTCAGTGAGTCTGATTCAACACACACTTCACTACTGGACATTTATTAATAACTAATGATGCAGTAATCTTGATTTCTTGTGGCCAATACTGATTGAATTTTTGTCAATTTTTTCCTGTATAATTATATAATAAAAATAATCAAAAAAGATTGTTTATTTTCAAAATATAAATTAAAAACATACCAATTGATTTTATTTCAGCTTTTACATAACAACTGTACTACACAATAATAGTAGGCTGAATAAAAATAGCTAATTCGTTGTGCACCAGTAGGTGGCGCAGATAGAATAGCAGGAATAATGGCATTTTCCTTATACAGAGAACTACAGTGGCCAAGAAAGCTGAAATGCACTGCAAGTTAAGAAAACACATGGTCTGCATCTAAAATCGCATACTTCCCTACTATATATTAAATTAAAAACAGTATGCAAGTTTAGTACTGTATCTGAATTCATAGTAAACTGTATGCGAGAAGTACCAGAATGAGCTACTTTTGGTGAGATTCAGTAGTGTGCATGGAGAGTAACTGGATAATCAATGGTGGATGTAGTACATCTGAATTCCATTCATACTACTCACATTGCTACTCTGTGTTTGTACTGCAAAACTCCTCTTACTATAAAACTAATTTACTAGACTGTCGTGCTTTTAATGATTCCAGAAGACATTTTTTTTTTATTAAATAAACTTTCTTAATTACATTTTTAGCAAAGTGTCACCAGAAAAGAATTTAGTATTTTTACCATATATTAATACAAAAAATCTTATTTAATTTATTTTTTCATTTGTTTTTTTTATTTTTTATTGTACATTTATTATTGAAATGTTCCTGCCATGAAAATAGCCTTGGTTACTAACATGGCATTAAATAAAAAAATACATTACATTACTGCTCACATTCAGTATGCAGCAGGGAAATACGTATTGAACACATCACTATTTTTCTCAGAAAACCTATTTCTTAAGATGCTGTTGACTGGGAATTTTCACCAGATGTTGGTATCAACCAAAGTAATCCACATTTGCAAAGAAAACAAATCTAATTAGTTTACAAATGGAATTAATATTAAATGATGTAAAGACAAAGCAGTGAAAGCCCAGACAGCAGCTGACAATCTCTCAGTAGTTAGTCAGAAACCATCTGCCCTTAGTCAATTAATATTAGCTGCTTCCATCCAACATTAGATAACCCAGTTCACCTGTACCATATGTCTTTGGACTGTGGGGGAAACCGGAGCACCCGAAGGAAAACCACACGAACGCAGGGAGAACATGCAAACTCCACACAGAAATGCCATCTGACCCAGTCGAGGCTCGAACCAGCGACCTTCTTGCTGTGAGGCGACAGTACTACCTACTGCGCTGCGCACTGTGGACGCAGCCATGAATATGGAAAAACATGTACAAATTGAAAAATAAAACATCTTCATCACTTTGACAACACACACGCACACACAAAAAATGTCCCTACACATGCAAATACAGAAATGTGCTGCAAATAGAGCAGACCACATCGAAAATGTGTCAGGGGACCCCAATAATTGACGAACCCAACTGCTTTCTGCTTCAGTCATCAGTATATAGACCATTTCAATGTGGTCATGTCATTGGCCCATGAACATTTCATGCTTGTTATCAAATTATTTCATAACTGTAAGAACAGGCAATTCAATCATAACTTAATGTTAAAACAGCTGTCACAACATTATTCATCAATATCTGACTCTTTTTGGATTCCCTAAAGCTTTAGAAATGAAAAATGTAAAACAAGAAATACAAGACCATTGTTTTTGTTTACATCCCTCAAAAGGGTCTATACAAAAATCAAAGAACTGTATGACAAGGATGTTAAAATAAAGAAAAACTTTAAATATGAAACAGTCAGGTTTATAATTTTTTGGATTCCCCTGACACATTTCCACTCTATTTGGGGCGTATTTCTGCATGTGTTGTGAGATTTAGCATGCACTATTTATATTATCACTCAGGTATTGCTTCATTTTAAGTGACAAGTAGTTTTGTGGTAGATGTTCTTATTAGAAGGTATAGTCTAATAATCTTAATCAAAAGCGTTCTAAATTTACAAGCGGTTCATCAATTAGTGATGTAGTTTCTGTTGTTTGTGAATCAGCGAAGCCAGGAGTTTGTCCACACAGAAGATTTGGAGCAGGAATGTGTGCCGAGTACTGTGTCAATGACAGCAATTGTCCCAGCAATGAGAAATGCTGCAGCAATGGATGTGGACATGAATGTACACCTCCATATACAGGTATTATATTATATTATATTATATTATATTATATTATATTATATTATATTATATTATATTATATTATATTATATTATATTATATTATATTATGTTATATTATAATGTGCTGTCAAAAGATTAATCTTGAAGGTTCAAAAATACTTGGTCATTGGCACAATTCTAACATTTTAGACTCTATACACTAACACAATGAACTTGAAATGAAACGAACAAGATGTGCTTTAACTGCAGACTGTGAGTTTTTTTTTACATCTAAATCAGGTGAACGGCGTAGGAATTACAACAGTTTGCATATGTGCCTGCCACTTGTTAAGGACCAAAAGTAACTTCTAAACTGTTCCATGGCCAGGCATGTGTTATTTCCTCATTATCCTAATTACAATGAGCAGATATAACTGGAACATCATCCTATGGACAGATGCAATCAAGATCAACTTGTACTAGAGTGATGGGAAGAGAATAGTATGAAGAAGGAAAGGAACTGCTCATGATCCCTAAAGCAGTGAAGCATGGAGATAGTAGTGACATGGTGTAGGCATGTATGGCTGTCAGTGGAACTGATTCTCTTGCATTTATTGATGACATGACTTTTGACAAAAGCAGCAGGATGAATTTTGAAGTGTTTCAGGCAATATTATCTGCTCATATTAAGCCAAATACTTCGAAACTCATTGGACGGTGCTTCACAGATGGAGAATGACCCAAAGCATACTGCAAAAGCAACCAAAAAGTTTTTAAAGGGAAAGAAGTAGATTGTTGTGCAATGGCCAAGTCAATTACCTGATCCGAATCCAATTTAGCTTGCATTTCACTTGCTAAATATAAAACTGAAATGTCCCTAGAACAAGCAGGAACTGAAGACAGGTAGTAATTTAAAATGTGCTTATTTGCTATTAATTGATTGACAGCACTAATTATCATATTATATTATTATATTAATTATATTATATTATTTGGGACGGCTTTTAATTACATTTAATAGTATTATTTTATGGGATTTTATAATTTTTTGATATTATTATACAGATTTAACTATTAAATCACAATTTATTATTTTATATTACATTATAAAGTTTAAGTTTTTGTACTCTCTATGGCAAAAAAATTAACCTGAATTGAACTTTATCAACCCTGTCCATGCATATGGTGGCTTTAATAAACATGAGAAGAAGTAGAACCCAACTTGCCAAGTGTGTAAAACTGCTCACTGTTGCTCAGTGTGTCTCTGCTCACATTTTTGTGCTGTCCACGCAGTGAAGCCTGGTCGATGTGCCTTACCGAGGGGAACCCCAATGTGTGCTGAATACTGTTATCATGATGGCCAGTGTCCTGCTAAACAGAAGTGCTGCCCGACCACCTGCGGTCACGCATGTGATGACCCCTGCTGATTTAAACATCCCCAACATTGATTTCACCTCATAACTCATACTTGAGTCATTTTAACCCAGTATTTCATTCAGAGGGAACAATGTCTGTTTATAACCACCAAATAAACCTCATAGTTTTAGTAAACAGTTTTTTCCAGAGCTTGAGCTTTTTGGCCACTGAAAAACAAAGGAAGTTGCTTCATTGAAAAGTCAGTATTTATTTTTTTTTGTATGCCAGCGTTCCTTTGGCTGTTCTCTTCTCACATAACAGCTCATTGGCATCAGTGCTCAGGAAGGCTCAGGAATGTTCCCCTCCCTGGGACCCAAACACATGCGGGACGTCCTGTAATGAAAGAGACCTCTGTTTCCACCCTTTACAAAAGCTTCAAAGCAATTTAACAATAATATGACTACATTCATGTTCATACACAATCCCAATTTTTAAAATAACTAGGTGTGCCATGCTAACCAATAACTCAGAAATGATAGTAAACAATGTTTATAACACATTAGTAATAAAACCCAGCTAAAAGTTTGCAACTGTGGGAAGACTGATTCTAGAGCTTAAAGGTGCAATATGTAAGACTGACACCCAGATGTCAAACAAGGTATTGCACTCCAAATTCAAAACACTTTTTCACTCTGCCCCTCCTCTGACAACTCCACACAAATGCAGGTTACCAGATTGACGACACCAGCAGGAGATAGCGTGCCTGACTATCGAGCCTACAGAATATCATAACTATACATGATAGAAGGAATATTTTCCATGTTAAAATTAATTTTTGTCCTAGCAATCAACTAAAATTTCCATTTTAGAAACGGCCTCAATTTCACATGGCTGAACAGCACCATAAATTATATGACAAGGATCACTTCAGGTAATGATTGTGTTTCACTCTGTGTTAAATGTTATAAATATGAGTTTGAATGTCATTTTACATGACATTTATTGCCATGCCACTGAAGCAGCAGCAGACAGTTCACCTCAGATCTTAAAAATAAAAGAAACCATTTGAAATTGAACTTTAGAGCTGTGACTCCAACAAACCAGCAAATATCAGTCACTGAGCATTTACTTTTACTAATTTACTATGTTAACCCTTTCATGCACAAGCTATAAAATAGATATAGAACAAATAAGCTTAGACGAGTCACTTAAGACCCATGTAGTGCATCAAAGGGTTAAAGAGGTTTAGGCCCAATCCCAATTCTACCCCTTAGCCCTTCCCTTTAGCCCTATCCCTTTTTTGCTTGTTCCCATGATGGGGTAGGGATGTCCCAATTCTCTTTAGCTTAAAGGCATGGGGCTAAGGGGAAGGGCTACATACCACTTCGAACTGAGATTTTTCAGGTCCACACTCGAAACCAAGGAGTGAGAAAATTTCCCAGAAAACATCAGCCACAGCTGCACTCGGAAGGAGACCTACAAATTAGTATTTTTTGTCGTTATTATGAATTTTTACAACAAACAAGCATGTTTAAATACATTCATAACCGTGTTCATGTTTTACCGTCATGCTTTTTAAGAAAACTCTCTAAAACAAAAACTGCTAAAATTTCAACATCTTTAATCCCTAATAATAACTCTTGTATAGCAGTCCCACAACATTCTGACACTCGATGACACTCAAATACCCTGTCAGAAAAGTCTAGTGGCTGGGAATGGGCTTTTTACAGTGTCTGCTATAATGTTAATGTTGTTTTTTGTGTTTACATAGATAATATGGCCACGGTGTAAATGCACAGTACAGTTACTGTATAATTGCCACAAGATATCATTATGACAATATGATATTGTTGCCTTCAGTGATTTACTGAAGACAAATACAAAAAAAAAAATACAAAAAAACAACTGGAATAACAACAGCAGTCATGATCATCTGATCTCATTTGAAGCAGGAGATCGCGATAACATAGGATGACATGTGCAGGTGCTGCAGTGCTGTCCCATTTCACACTCTGTTTCAAGGGCCAAGGGAAAGGGGTAGAGGTAAAGAATAGAAATGGGATTGGACATGTTAAAAAGACACAGCGTTACAGTGTACCATGCTCAGCTAATGTTTACATTTGTAATATTTATATTGTTTACTATTTAAACACCACGGGCCTGTTTCAGTAAGGAGGTTAAACTAACTCAGAGTTTAAACTTGAACTCTGAGTGGATTTACCGAACTCTGAGTTTTCAGTTTCATATTAGTGAATCTGAGTTAGGTCAATCAACTTTGAGCAGACCAACTCAAGAGTTAAGCCAGCACACTGTGACTATAAAAAGGCCTTATCAATAGAGCGCAGATATTACGAGTGACCATGACAACATCTGAAAAAAGAGGTCATCATTTCTTTCTCCAGCTGAACTTGATGTGCTCAAGCAAAGTTATAGCAAATGTGAGCATCATACATCTTAAAAAGCAACACCACTGCATCTGTGAAACAGAGACAGTTAGCGAGGGAAAACAGCTGAAGTTAATGCGCAATTTTTAATTTAAAGTATTTAAATATTTAATATAATAATTAATAATAAAATAAGTAATGTTATGTGTGACATTTATACACATTTTTACACACGTTCTTACTTTTATACACGTTGATCTGTTTTAATAGATTTAAAAGTGCACTTGTATCTGGCTTTTTTATTGATCAAGTGATAGAGGTTGATATGACATTTAAAATGGAAGCAGAACTAAACAATAGTTTTTAGAAAGAAACTTAATCCTATTAATCTAGTTACAGTACATGTCCCTTTCGAAGGTCAGTGAATTTAAGCTCATTATTTATTAAAAAAAGGACAAGCCATTCTCGTACGTTACTTGGTGCTTTGTGTGACTAAAATGTAGTTAATAGCTGTTTCCATTTAAATGTATTAATTAAATTTATGTGCAAAACTGGAATAACGCATAAAAGATGTGCGAATAAAGCAGCGTTTCCATCCAACGATTCAAAGAGAACAAAATCATCACTTCCTGATAAAACGGGCACCAAATATCAACATGGAAAAACAGAATTTACTGCAGTAGAGGAAGCTGCGTCAATCTTTGCTTTACTTAATAAATAATATTGATAAATTTAATAAATATTGAATTTATATGAATAAATTTACTTAATAATAAATGTGCTTGTGCCTCAGAAGACAATGCGAACACACAATGAACACTTGGGGGCGTTTGAAGCCATGAAATGTGGAGAACGGACGCTCTTAACACATTTTAAACGCTCTGGAGGTCATTAATAATATAAAAACATTAATACTGAAACAGTTAAGGCGTTTTAGAATTAATGACCAAAACAACATTTAAGATGTGTTACAGTGTGCTCAGCCTGCTGGTTTGTCCATTCACACACATTTTCATCATCATTTGATCTCTTATAACAAACCTTTTTTTAATGCACATACTATAATTGGTTCAGTAAAAGTTTTTCCATTGTAGTTTAGGCACATGTTTTCTATCGAATAAAAATTGATCCTACTCAGTTCTGCGCATTTTTTATGCCTCTTTTTAAAAGTTATGTGCATCATGACGTTTCCATCAATCGTTTTTATGCACATATCCAAAATGAGCATAAAAATAGGTGGGTGGAAACGTAAGGCTAAGGCGAGAAATACAGATTCGTCTTTAAAAAAAGGGGAGGAGACTGACAGAAACTCAGAGTTTAGAGAATAAAACCTGCTCTTGACCAGGTTAGGTTCACAGAGTAAGTTACCACAGTAACTGACTCTGAGTTAAAATTACCTCTCTTTCAGAAACAGGCTTGACTTACCCTGCTTTCTCGAGTTTAACAAACCTGCCCTTTTGAAACAGAAAACCCAGGGTTTATCTCATTGCGGGGTTACAATATTCTGAGTTTTCACTTAACCTCCTTTCTGAAACAGGCCCCACATCACATGGACCGGAGTTTTCCACCAAGGCAACCCTGGGTGTTGAACTATAATTGGGTAAAGTGGCAGTGGGCTAGTTATAGAGATCAAAACAAAGACAGACGTTCTGACATGAAGCACACATTTTTAAAAGAAAATAACTGACTTTAGGATTGTTTTTCAGATAAACAAGAATGTTCATTTAGCATGTTTTTTAAATCTCTACAAATATAATGTGATGTTTTTATGCTTTAGAGTCATGAACTTACATGCAGAACCTTTAAGAAGGAAAAACTGTGACAATCAGTTTATGCTTAAGCCATTTCATTTATGATTTTTATTTATCTAGCGCATTTATTGTGTATAGCCATACACCCAAATCACTTAACAATCATGAGGGAGGAGGTGGCTTGGGGGGTCTCTCCACACCATCACCAGTGTGCAGCATCTACTTGGACAGCAGCCACAGGACAGACAGGTTGAGCACCCCCTGCTGGCCTCTCTATCTCAAAAAAGGGTCAAGACATTTGCATGATCCCATGTGCTGTCGACTTGCCATAATCATGTTAAAAAGTGATGGAAAACCTGGATCTGGAAACATTCAGAAATCAAACAAATCAAAGAATGCAGAGTGTAAATCTTTAAAAAGAAAAGTGCAAACCACCACATGCAAAAATAGATGATGGAAGAATTTATATTCAGCAGATGCAGAGCCTCTTTCACATAATTCAAACTGAAGGGCACCACTGGGAGAGAGGGATGCCAAATAGTTTCCTAAACCCTCCAAAAAGCTTGACATTCTTCTGCAAAATCCCTCGAGGCATGAAGAAAAAAAGAGAAAGTCAAATCACAATTCTCAACACATGTTCTAGGTTTCCAGTTAGTTTATTATTGGAACACTGACCAATGTAAAAGATGTGCTTCAAAATTTGAATTCCAGTCTGGAGGTCATTATGTGGTCAGCACACAGGCAACTGCGCAAAAAAAAAGATAAACGCTTTTAAAAAAGCAGTCCCTTTCAAACAACACATTTAAATATCAGTGCATTACAGAATGTGGAAACTATTTGCCACATTCCTAAATGTCCACTTTCAGTAGTTTCAGGAGTGTAGCATCTCTGTTTCTGTGAGATTTTGCACAAAGCAGCGGAGTAAACGGTGAAGACTTAACATAAGGCTTTTTTCCATGTATGTTTCTATCAGTAGGCCATACTACTACTTTCCCAAAACTGCACTGCATACATATTTGTTTGCAAAAGAAAAACAGCAACAAAGAAAAAAAAGGTTGCAATCTCGGTTGATTATGTGACTCAAATTAAAACAAACACTAGCAAAACAAAAATGGACAATCTGCTTGTGGCAAAAAAAACAAAAAACAAACAAAAACAAAAAGATGGTTAATCTTTCCTTGTATGAAATACATATTTCCTTGTTCCTCAAATAAAAACAAACACTAACAAAACAAAATGGACAGTCTTCGACTCTGACAAAACCAAAAAAGATGGTCAATCGTGTCTTATGTTTCCCAAAACATAAAAACTACAAAAAAGGACAAGCATTTCTTGAACTCAAAAAAAGAAAAAACAAAATAGAAGAGGAAAAAAAAAGTTGCCAACTCAAAACAACTCAAACACTAGCAAAACAAAAAAGTGATGGAGAATCTTTGCTTGTGGAAAAAAATACAAAAACAAAAAGATGTTTAATCTTGCTTGAGACTCAAATGAAAACAAACAAAACGGACAATCTCTGCTTGTGACATGAAAAACTAAAATAAAAGTTGGAAAATATTTGCTTACGTGAACAAAACAAACACTAGCACAACAAAATGGACAATCTGTTTGAGACAAAAAAACAAACAAAAATAAAAATATGGTCAAGCTTTGCTTGTGACTCAAAAAAAACAAAAAAACAAAATGGACAATCTTTCAATCTTTGACTCTGACAAAACCAAAAAGATGATCAATCGTTTCTTTTGTTTCCTAAAACATAAAAAGTTCAAAAAAAGACAAGCTTTTCTTGCAACTCAAAAAAAGAAAAGAGAGGGGGAAAAAGTGGTCCACCTCCCTATGTAACTCAAAACAAAACACTAGCAAAACAAAAAAGTGATGGACAATCTTTGCTTGTCACAAGAAAAATTAAAATAAAAAATGGAAAATATTTCCTTCTGTGAACCAAATCAAAACAAACACAAGCAAAACTAAATGAACAATCTTTGCTTGTCACAAAAAAAATTATGCTCAATCTTTTTCTGTCTTCTTTGTTTGCGTAATTTAAATCAAAGCAAACACAACCAAAACAAAATGAAAGACAATCGAAGCTTTTCTTGTGGCTTAAAAAAGAAAAACAAAACACTAGCAAAAAAAAAAAAAAAAACACAGCAAAGAAAGTGACGGACAACCTTTGGTTTTGAGAAAAAACAAGCAAAAACAAAAAGATGTTAAATATTTCCTTGTGGCTCAAAATAAAACAAACACTAAAAACAAAATGATAGAAAATGTTTTGCTTGAGACAAAAAAAAAAAAAAACTAACAAAAGACAAAAGATGGCCAATTTTTGCTTACATGAACCAAATCAAAACAAACACTAACAAAATGAAGGACAATCTTTGCCTGTGACAAAAAATAAATAAATAAATAAAACAAAAAGGTTAATCTTGGCTTGCATGCCTCAAATCAAAACAAACACTAACAAAACATAATGAACAAATAAATAAAAAAAATCAGGCTAATCCTCCAATACAGGTAGCTCATATGTTTAACAAATGTTCAGAACAGTCACTTGGCATCAAATCCTTCCTCCCAGAGCCGAAAAGCATCCAAAAACTCCAGCAGCTGTCGATAATTTCAGCATCACAATTCTCTCAGCTGCCTAATATGGGCACTTGGGGGCATCAGAGCTGCTCTGGGCATTTATGTCAGCAATGGCACTCCTCTTATACGCCGAATCAGGTTGGCCAGTCGTTTGGCCAGTGGTGGGCTGGGCTCGTCCACCTGGAATGTGCGGGTCAGTAGATTGTAAAATGAGCCGTAACCCACCGCCACCACCGTGCAGGTCAGACAGATGACATTGTAGGGCATGCTGAAGTCAGGAGTGGGCAGATTTACCAGCAGGGGTTCAGTGTATACGCGCATAAAATAGCTGGACTCCTCCTTCACTGGGACACTGGAATGCAGAGGGGAAAATGAAAACTGCTTTAGTAATAATAATAATAATAATAATAATAATAGTAGTAGTAAAAACTAGACTACAACCTCCAAGCTTGTTACAAAAGCTATGGAATTAAAAAAATAAGACTTACTGTATTTGTTAGGTATGGGTTATGTACGAGTATAAAGGAATTGTTAGGTATGACTAATATGTCAATATTTATTTATTTTTTATTTATCTGAAAACATTTCTATTAAACTTCTAACAAAAATGTTGTCTTTTGCAGACTAAAGCCCTGGTCAGATCACACAATTTTTATTCGTCAGATTATGAAAATGTTTTTTCTTGATAAAATCTTGACAAGTCATGGGTAACAAATGTGCCAGACTACACACTCCTTTACGATCAGTCATCCTGTGACGTCTACGACGAGCGTTATTTCCCAAAGGAGTCACAAGTGTTGCTATAACAATTTTTCTTATCTCAATTAATTTTGTTTAATCTTATTTCAATGTCAATAAACACTGATGCTTGCAGACAACTAATAACTACATTATTTAAGGGCACTCCTTACGACATTGGATAAGATAAACTTATGATTCCTCTTAATATCAAGATATTTTCTTTGAAATCTAAATGTATATTGTCCTGTCATGGGTTGATTATTAAACAATCCCTCATCTGAAATTGCCGCGAATGAGACAAAGAAAATGAAAGCACATAAGCAGCAGCAAGGAATATTCAGATGCTCAAGACATACTCTTTAAAACGATGACATATTTAAAAAATAGCTAATTTATAACTGACATTTGTGATACAATCACAGTAAACCCTTCATTAAATTCTTATTTTCCACAGAGCAAAATAAATTATTTACCCATATAGTGGAGTAGTAGACGGGCAAAAACAAAAATATAATTCGTATATTTTTTTCTTGGAAAATTTCTTTTTGAAACTTATTTAGTTTCAAAGTAATTAGGTAATTTTTATCTTAATTTGAATGTATCCTTTGTTGGTCAGTTATCAATAAACAAGAATAACAAATAACAACTGAGGTGATGCACTTCAAAAGATGTCTGCTATATGAGCCAGAACATGAATTGCTGTGAGATTGCGCTGGTTTGTTAAAAAAAATAAAAAACTAGCCTAAATAAAATCAAAGATAAATATTTCATTTATATGATGACAAAATATGTATATGACTATTAATGACAAATATTTGAATAAGCAAGAAATGCTTTTGCAATGTTTTCGCAGCACTGAACGTGTTTTCAGAATACTTCACAGGAACAAACTGTGTTGTAAAATGAACTAACTCAGAAACACCTAGTGAGAATGGAGATGTCTGCATATTTGTGCCAGTCTGTCAGATAGAAAAAGAAGTTAAAGTTTGCAGAACCAATGATGTGACCCACCCATAAGTAAATATGCAGCCTATTTTTTGATTATCAGACCGGCACATCCCACTGATATACCCAAGAAATTATGTGCTCCTATTGCACAGTGTCACTCCCGTGACGGAACTCATCATAAAGAACGAAAAAAATTAAACATGCTAGATTTTCAGCGATGGTGTTGTGAGGCGTCGCAGACATGGTTTCAGTTGTTGTGAACCATGCCACATTACACAAGAAGAAATTATTGAATATTGTATCACGACGCCCATTTGTCATTTACGAATCCCCATGACACCCTACATCAAGGAAATTGTGCCAAAGTCGTTACAAATTTGTGTGATCTGACCAGGCTTAAATTGATTTAGATTTTCTGAAAAATTGCGATTGTTGAAAGTATATATTTTCAGTTATGAATTAAACATTTACTTATGAACCCTGTTTAAAAGTTAAACCATTCATTTTGTGTTGTAATAAATAAATAGAAATAGAATAGAATAGATTCCCCATCAAATGTTTTTTCTTCCATCAAATAAAAATATCAGGCTACCTTAAATTAATCACTCTATGGAAAATGTATATTTAAAAATGTTCCGCTTAAATCTCCGTCAACATTTTTAATAGAAGTCATTAATTTAAAGATTATGTCTTGAGCTTCTGGTTACCTTAGAACTTGTGTGCTTTTTATTTCCTCTCTCACTCGCAGTTTATGTGTGTGATGAAAGACAATGACAAGGCGCATATGTAAAGTAGAGGCTACTATAGCATATAACAATTTTGTTGTTTACATATGATATTGCATTCATTTGCATACATGTCTTTATAGTTATAAACTAAAAGCCTCAGTTTGGTATGAAAAAAAGTTGGTTAGTTGGCTGTACACTAAAGCCTAGTTCACACTACAGGATTTTAAACATCGGCAGATTGCTGTGCCTTTCTTTCATGACTTGATTTTGTGTCTTTTAATCGCTGTGGTGTTCACACTACGCGACACTACGTGAATGATCCACAAGAGGGGGGTCACACACTACAGCTCATTCAAGCAACCAAACCACAGCCAATAAAATTTTGAGGGAGGAGTCTTCAGACCAAGCTGAGCATTATTAGCTGCTTGTGTGCTGATTACATCACTGACAGCGTTTCAAGCTTTCAAGGAAGCATTTAAAAACATCCCAGCTGATGCATCAGTGAATTATCAATCATCTGCAAGTTTTTTATTTTTGTAATTTTATAACTCTTTGAAATAAAACTAACATATCTATAACACCATGAGATTTTCTAAATATCAGTGTATTTCTTTCTAACATTGTTTTTTTTTTAATTATAAAACAGTAAAGGACTGAGCATTTGTACCTTTAATTACCATATTGGTCAAAATGACTGCATGCATGTCTGATACTTTTTGCTGTGACTTTAAATATGTGTGCATTTTTTGCCTAGCAACTTCCTGCTAACATGAACAAATCTTTCTTATAGCAAAAACATCAATATACTTCAGATATCTTTCAAAACAGCATATTTTGTGCCACGAAATAGCTCCTGTTCGAAAGTGAAAATGAAAGCCAAGACCTTTGCGTGTTTTAGTATTTTAACTACATATTTATAGGCTGTATTACCAAAAAAAGATAATATTTTTAGGGTAATGGTGTCATTAAATATGATGCCAGACAATTAAAGCTTAATTTTATTATCTCAATAGAAGCTTTGAATGTAAATATGATGAGACAATATGACGTTTTATATGAGAACGGTCAGAATGACCAGTATGGTAATTCTAATAGTTACAGAATTCTAGTTTCACAGTTAATATACCCTACTCTCATGTCTGTGTTAACGCAGAATGAAGCGAGTGCACCGATGCCCATTCTGACCAATCACAGATGTTTCTGTTGAGCTCCTGAGCACACAGGCATTCAGCTCATGTTGATATCCTCTCTCATTGGCTGCAGCTCATCACTACATCTGACCACATGTGGGGTTGAGTCGGCCGACTGCTCTGAAATATTCAGCATGCTAAATATTGGATTTCCGTCTGCGAGGTGTTGGCGACGCGTCAGCGAGCCTCGTTGATGTGTTGTTCAGTAGTTCACACAAAGACTGGCGAGCGCCGTGCACCCGCAGAAATTTTCCCAATCCCAGCCTGATCCATCGGCAAGCTCGTTAACTTCCAAATCAGGCTTAAAATCCTGTAGTGTGAACTAGGCTTAAATTAGCACAACTATAGTCTATTTGTTGTGTTTATGAAAGGAGCGTGCTCTGATGGAGAGAAAATTTTGATCCTCCGACTTATGGCCGGCTTGTTTCCAAAGCAGAGCACATTTCAGAAAGTTTTGTTTTGTGGCTTCTTTCTTCAATTGCGCAAATAAACAGAAGTGTTTATAACGTGGATCCAGGAAAGAGGCAAGCAGCATCAGCGCTGGTTTGGCATCAACTTATCTGTGTCAGACTGTGACCAGCAATATTCTTCTTTCATTTCGCTTCTTTGGCAAAATATGTCTGTAGACACGTGTTACCATCCCCCAAGCGAACAAATATGTGTTGCACATTTATGCAGCCAATTATAAAAAAACAAATATTACAGTTTTTTTTTATTATTTAACTGATACGGTAAATCAGTTAAAAACACTCTTTCGGTTAAGAGTGAATCGGTTATTATGAGCATCCCTAAATTCTACACAAAGCCCCATTAAAAAGCATACTTTAGGTTAAAAAAACAATACCTATAAAAGGTAAAATTGTGTGTGAAAATACCAACTAATACCATTTTAAAATGTTTTATGACATAAAATGAAAATGTAAATGAAATGATAATATGAAAATGTTTAAGTGCACGAATTTGGAAGAAAAAGTGTCTATTTATTTCATACTTCTGTCACAACAGGCTAGTTTATACTTACAAACTGCTAAACAATGGCTGGTCCAGCGTGAAGTTGGTGTTCATTGCAACCATACTTGGCACAAGGGCACTGACCACAGAAGATCTGTAATAACACATAAATCAGATGTAGACACTGCAAAGTCCATACATTTCAAAATATGACAGGAGTCTTACCCGACGTAGAAGCCATGGTTGGGATCAGGGGTGTATTCAGTCCATTTGAGCAGAGCCCTATCAAACTGCACCGTGATCTCTGTCATGGAGTGGGGGGGCAGCTGAATCAACATCTCCAGCAGATGAGGACGGTGGCGGTCTTTAGCCGGCTGGTAGTGAATGTAGCCTACAGGAGAAAGCATGAAATGTTAGTTCTGTTAACTTTACCATGGATGTAGTCTGATCTGATACAATTGAAGCATCTAATGATTCTTAGATTTTGTTGGTGTGTGTGTTTGGTTTAGTACTGGAAATCTAAATTAGAACAGTTATATAAATATTGTATAATATTTTGCACATTACATATTATAGTAAATCTGAAAACTTCCCATAATCAAAGAACTGCCCTAAAAGCTATATCCACATACAAATCATATATATAACTTTGGCGTATCCAGTAAACAAAATGAACTCACTGGGCTTGTTTTCTCTGCTCTTGCTGGTGACTGTGAGCGTGTGAATGTACAGCTGCAGGTACCAGGGCACTGAATCCATCAGCAGTACAGGAAACGCCCGAAACGGGTGGTTATTGTAGATGACTGTGTGGATTTCTCCCGTCTGCAGCCCAAAACCAGACACATAGCGTTCTGCATGCAGCAGCGGACGCAGCATATCACCTAAAATGACAACCAACACAAGAAAAATTCACCTATTTAAGTGATGATAAATAAACACAGATGTGGATTTAAAGGTATCAATTCTGCAAATTATCTTTTTCGCAAAGGCCAATCAGAACCTGAAAGAATGATAAGGAGCCACAGGTAATAATTTAGTGTTTTCTCTATTTGTTTTTGACTTAAGTCCCAGTAGCATTGAATATTTAATGTTTGAATGTAATTTAATGTTTTATCTAAATCAGCATTATGTAATTTTTTGAACATAACCCTGCTGTTGTTTTTCAATTCGGTCACACTTAACAATAAGGTTTCATAAGTTAATTAATTTTCTAGCATAAACTAAGTATGAACAATACTTGTACAGAATTTATTAATCATAATGCAACATTTATGCATTATTAAAATCCAAATTTATGCTTTAATATGAGTTAATATTAATTAACAATGAACAACTGTATTTTTATCAACTAACTAACAAGAACAAGTTCTTTAATAAATTTATGGTTCAGTGTTTGTTTATGTTTGTAAATGTCTTAACTAACATTAACTAATGCATCCTTAATTGTAAAGTGTTACTAAATTCTGTACACACTGTACATTGGGTCAAAAATGTATGGAGCCAGATCAGTCTCAAAAAACAATACATTTACAAATACAATTCATAGATCTACAACAAAATTCACATTCACAAAATTTAATTTCTAAATTCAAAACCTGATTGGAAAATACACAAATCCAATTCGTAAACTTAAAACCTGATTAATAAATACACCAATTCAATTCATAAATTCAAAACACGATTCAAAAATACACAAATTCAATTCGTAAATTCAAAACACAATTCAAATATACACAAATTCAATTTGTAAATTCAAAACATGACTCATCACAAATCCAATTCGTAAATTTAAAACACAATTCATAAACACAAATCCAATTCGTAAATTTAAAACACGATTTGAAAATACACAAATCCAATTCGTAAATTCAAAACATGATTCCTAAGTACACAAATCCAATTAGTAAATTCAAAACATAATTCCTAAGTACACAAATCCAATTTGTAAATTTAAAACACGAATCTTAAACACAAATCCAATTCGTAAATCCAAAACACGATTTGAAAATACACAAATATAATTCGTAAATTCAAAACATGATTCATAAGTACACAAATCCAATTGGTTCATTCAAAACACAAATCGAAAATACACAAATCCAATTCATACATTTCAAACATGATTCAAAAATACAAATTCAATTTGTAAATTCAAAACACGATTTAAAAATACACAAATTCAAATTGTAAATTCAAAACACAATTCAAAAATACATAAATCCAATTCAAAAATACATAAATCCAATTCGTAAATTCAAAACACGATTCAAAAAAACAAAAATTCTATTCGTAAATACAAAACATAATTCATCACAAATCCAATTTGTGAATTCAAAACATGATTTGAAAATACACAAATACAATTCATGAATTCAAAACTTGAATTATAAACAAATCAAATTCGTAAATTTAAAACACAAATGGAAAATACACAAATCCAATTCATGAATTCAAAACATGATTCAAAAATACACAAATTCTATTCATAAAATAAAAACATGATTCATCACATATCCAATTCGTAAATTTAAAACACAAATCATAAACACAAATCCAATTCGTAAATTCAAAACATGATTCGAAAATACACAAATCCATTTCAGAAATTCAAAAAATCATTCACAAATTCAATTTGTAAATTCAAAACATGTGTCACAAATATGGCTGACCACACACATAATTATTTTGCTTTTTATTTAACAAATAAGCCAACTTTTGCCCAGGGAAGACTCGAAACCTGATTCCATGGTATTTATGACCCAAAAGGAATGTGCCATGCAACACTGAACAAAGAGCGGTTCAGGACTTTTTTAAGCTCATTGCTGAAGACTGATATTTTAATGTAAACTTTACTCTCTCTTTGTGTGTAATCATGTGTTTTGCAATGTTTCCCTTGCTCCTGTATCAATATTATTGGTTTTAATACTTACTTGCTGTACTAATTAATTGTTGACATTTTATGTTAATACGAGTGCAACATATTAACATTTTAAGAGACTTTAACATTTCTGCCCCGATTTGCATAAAATTTGCCTATGCAAATTCCTCTGCCTCGGACAAAGCGCCATAAACCATGATGCAGAGAGGTTAGTTTCTAATTGGTCAACTTTCCATGGAGGGTGGATCCGAACCCGCCCTATAAAGCTTGGGACTAAAGTAACGCCCTCTCTCTGCTCTGAAACTCTCTGCTCTGAAACCTCTTCAACTCTCTGCAACTTCTTCAGAAAGCACTCTTCTCTCAATTCTCTTCTCTGAATCTGCAACGACCTAAGATCGAGACTTAAGCAGAGAAACCTCCAAGAAAGCAGGTGGAGACCTAGACGGAAAGGGTTAAATCGCACAGCTCGGACCTACACATCTAAGTTACTTTCTTTTCTTTATTTTCCATTGAGAGTCTACTTAAGTTGGTCAGTTGGTCAGTGGTCAGCACAACTGGTCCCTTTTGCCGCTTCAACTTCAAACACCTACTCATCCCACTCCAACCCTCGCGAGAAAAAGGAACCACGTAGCAGAACCACGTGCTCAGCCAAGGGAGCTTCTATACATCACATAGACAGACGCAAGTATCCACTTTTGTCTACATCTGAACTGGTGTGAACTAAATGCAAACCTAAAGAGACAACAGAAGGGTGAATTTGATTACGTTGGGTTTGCTCTTACAAACTCAGAGGTTTTCCATCATTACATTCTCTCAACCTCTCATTTTACCTTCTTTACTCTCCTCAACACTTGTATGAATGTGTGTTTGTGTTAGGTGTTAGTTTCTGTTAGATTAGTCAAAGTTTAATTTTGTATAAAGAAAGGTGTCTGTGTATATTTATGAATCGAATGTCTTAAACTTCAATCTTGTTACCCTGCTCAAACTTAATGGGTTTTTATTTTGATAGCATCGCTGGACGATTCATTTGTTCGGATCTAAAGAGACGATTTATTTGAAGCCCCGTTCAAATGAATCTCCCTCCTGTTAGGCTAATCCGCTATATATATGATGGTGCAGAAGATACGCGAGCACTGTAATCTAAATCATAACTCGCAACATTATAACGGTGGAAAAGGTGCGGGAAGATAAACCTTGAGCTAATTTATTACAGAAATAATGATGTAGATATGCGACCACTTTAATCTACATTATAATTTGTTACAGATTATTAATGTAGATATGCGTGCAAAGTTAATCTACATTATTATTCATTTGCTACATTGTTCAATGGTGGAGAATAAACGCAGCAAAATATTACACATGATTAATCACAAATCCAATTTGTAAATTTAAAACACGATTAGACAATACACAAATCTAATTCGTAAATTCAAAACACAAATTGAAAATACACGAATCCAAATAGTACATTTCAAACACGATTCAAAAATAAACAAATTCAATTTGAAAATTCAAAACACGATTCAAAAATACACAAATTCAATTTGGAAATTCAAAACATGATTCATTACAAATCCAATTCATAAATTTAAAACACGAATCATAAACACAAATCCAATTCGTAAATTCAAAACACGATTTGAAAATACACAAATCCAATTTGTAAGTTCAAAACTCTATTAAAAAATACACAAATCCAATTCGGAAATTTAAATTACAATTCAAAACTAAACCAATTCTATTTGTAAATACAAAACACAAATTATAAACTAATCCAATATGTAAATTCAAAACACAATTCGAAAATACACAAATCCAATTCATAAATTCAAAACAGGAATCATAAACACAAATCTAATTTGTAAATTCAAAACACAATTCGAAAATACCAAAATCCTATTTGGAAATTTAAAACACGAATCATAAACAAAAAATTCAATTCGTAAATTCAAAACATGAATCATAAACACAAATCCAATTTATAAATTCAAAACATGATTCATAAGTACACAAATCCAATTAGTTAATTCAAAACACAAATCGAAAATACACAAATCCTACTCATAGATTCAAAATACGAATCATAAACATAAATCCAATTTGTAAATTCAACACATGATTTAAAAATACACAAATCCAATTTATAAATTCAAAACACAAATCATAAATATGCAACTCCAGTTCATTTGGTAAAAATAAATGGTTTTTACAAGTGAATTTACAAATTGTGTTTTCAGATTTACAAATTGGATTTTGTAAATGGGACTTGTGCTGTGCATCTATGAGTTTCATTTTGTAAATGTATTATTTCTGACACTGATCTGGCTCCATAAAAAATACCTGCCGTCACCAACCCTTTAAAATAAAGCAGCTTAATTTAATTTCAGTCCTAAATCCTCTTTTTCGTGGTTTTCACCTTTAATGGACAGGACAGTGGAGATTACAGACAGGAAAGTGTGGGGAATGGAGAAAGGGAAGGATCTGCAAAGGACCTTGAGCCAAGATCTCAGGTCGTTGTGAGCACCTCAGCATTATGTGTCGTCGCTCTAATCACTAATCTATTGGTGTTGACTTCAATCCTCTATTTTGTGAGAAGACACAACCTCAAATTTATCAAAACAAACGTTGGGAATATCTACGTTTTCCCTTTTTAGTTTGGAGTTTTTCATCCATGTTTAATCAGAACACAACACTCATTTTTAACTCAAGTAAAAGGGTATATTTTTCTAATGCTAAAAGTACCTGCAAAACGTTTAGGAAGACAGTATTCATAAAAGGTAAAACAGCAGATTCTCATTGTGTGTATGTTTGGGTGCATGTATGTGTAGGAGTATGCATGTGTTTGCTAGTAGTTTTTGTGGTAGCTTATGGGTAGTATGACACGGAATCTGCGTGTGCAGAAATCTGCAAATTTCCACAGATTTTTAGCCCATCATTGAGCCTATTTATTTAGATGTGTAAATGTGTGTCAAATTATATTTATTTTGTTTTGTTGTATGTTTTGTCGTATTATTCATTTTAGTAATGTTATTGACTAATATGCAAAGTTCATTTGATTTATTTACAATACAGTTTGTCTTTTAGTAGATATACATTATATGAGAAACTTGCTTTGTTTACCAATTAAGTGGATCTAATTGGATTTGCACTGTAAATTTTAAATAAAAGTTAAAATGGGATTATTTTTATTTCATATATAAAGTTTTTAGCTTAGATACTTCCAAAATCATTCCATATAAATACGCAGATTTTTTTACTAAATTTTATTCAGGAACAGCAAAAAATGTCTGCACATTCTGTTTGGCCCTAGTAAAAATGTTGTAGCCTAAATGTGTGCAGCCATCATGAAAATAGAAAACTATTCTTTTTTTTTTTTTATGTTTGAGGTCATTTTACAAAAAAGTCACCAGATTTCTAAATAAAAAAACAGAAAAAAAATCTAAACAATGCTTTTTTTTGTTTGTTTTAAAAATGGTGCCTGGGTCATTTTTTACACTTAAGTCAACAGGAGGGTAAACGTAACGTCTCTGAAATGATTACTGTGATAAAAAGACATTTAACTTGACGAATTCTGCTGTAAAGGCTTCCAGAACTGCCTCCAGAATAAAAAAAAAGTAAAACCACCCAACTGCACCAAAGGCTGCAGATCTTGATGGTCAATTCTGATTTTGTGTCTGTATTCGATTTTTTTGATGACCTGCTTACATCAACTTAAAAGTGACTCGTATCTGATCGTCTGCATTTACACAGCACACGGCAAAGGCGCAATGACCAGGAAAAAAAAAGGTGAACGCTGACTAAACAGCAGATAATTGAAGAGTGCTCTTTTCTCTATTCCTGTGTGTGATCTGTTTGCAGCTTTTGACAAGCTGTTTTGACAGAAAGGTTTCCATTTGTCCATCTTCTTTTGATATATAGGCTTTTTTAACCTATTAAGGCATCTTAATGTAATGTCTATGGGGTGATTTATGCACGTGATGCATGCACTAGTTTTATAATAGATTGTATTGGTTACGTGGCCGAAATTGCGCTCTCTCGCTCTGGTGAACATGCTTAAATACCTGTGCTATATGACAATGTAAAAGCTGTTTAAGTCCTCGGGTATGAGATTTAAAGTTTCGGACTCTGCTTAAGTCTGTTCTATAGTTTTAAATGACGCGCGACTCACACTAACAGGTGAAAATCCGATCTACCTGCATACACTGCAGACACGAGAACACAGATCTGATTTATTTCAGATAAATTTCCACATATGAACAAGGCCCGGATCTGATTTGAGTAAATCAGAATCCATATGATTTGTTCCTGCTTACACCTACATGGGCCATATCCGATCTGTGCCACATGGAAGAAAAAAATCATAATAAAGTCACTTGAACAGTGCAGTGTAAATGTGGCCAAACAAAATCATACCGCTCTCTCCTTTCCAGCGCAGCAGAAGATTGAGTGAGCGTAACTGTCCAAATGTTTCAGCTCTGGTCAAGTCATAGACTGAATATGTCCTGCGATCTCCTAGAACCACAGCCTGGCTGAGCAGAGCTGTAACAGGACTGAGCTCAAACAGCTCCCCCTGTAAGACAAACAGCACAGAACACTTGTTAACTACAGCGGACTGAGATAGCAGACCTGTGGGACACACTAGCTTCTTAACCAGCCCATTTACAGAAACATTATATAGTCACAAAGCAGAAGGACAGTGTTGTATTGTTTCTGATTCACCTCAGGGTTGTCTGTGATGTCCACATAGACTTTACTAGAGGAAGCAAGTGGACATGCCTCTGTCAGAGTCCGTGAAAACATCTTGAACATGGACCATTCTGAAAGAGATGATGAAAGACATTAATAGACAGATGGAAAAATGTTAGCAAACCACATGGAGCTACAAAATGAGGCTTGTGAAACAGCACAGAGTGACCTTTTATTCACGAGGTAAATGTAGGTGTGTGTGATTTGACCAATGTAATCGATTCGTTGTTGCGGCCCTAATCTGAAACAGTAAAACGCTAACTGGAGATTCGCTCTGACCAAATATATTTTAATTAGAGAATCAGTAAGTTGTTTAACTGGATACTCACTCTTGCTAGATTGGTTAAGTCAGAGAACCAGCGAGTTGCTTGCTTACATGAGACTCGGCTTGAACTAATATTTTGAGTTTGTAAACCATTACCCGAAGACTCACACCGACCAGATCAGTGGAATCAGTAAGGTGTCGTTAACTAGAGACTCACTCTAACTGAATCATTTGAATCTGTAAATCATTAAATGGAGATTCGCTCTGACCAAATATTTGAATTAGTGAATCAGTGCGTTGCTTGCCAACTTGAGGCTTGCTCTAAACAAATCATTTGAATTAGTGAATCAGTGAGTTGTTTGTTTGCTGGAGACTGGACCATCTGAATCAGAAATTACTGAATCGAATGCTGCTATCATGTCTGTGGGTTCAGATTCGATTAGTTTAAAATAATGAGCAATTATTTTTTTATAAAATGTAGCAGAGTAAATGTTGTAACATTATGCTGACAAAAAATGTATTTATTCAACCACTGGCACAACAATGCTGAAGTTGATATATCCATAATGTTGCTCTACTGAAAGCATCGAAACTAAAAAAAGTTTTTTTTTTTCCTGCTGTAAAAACAAGGAAATGCTTTAATATATAGAGCCAATCCATCTCAGAAATTGTTTGCTGCTGACGCTGAATTCAAACTTAGCTGAGCTTCCCATAAGTATCCTAAAAAGCCATTTCCATTCCTGTGAACAGCTTAGGCACATGATGTTTTTGGGAAACAAAGCCCACTGCAATGTTTACCCGATGACAGGAAACCCTTTCATGGATCCATTAGATTGAGTTACTTCACAATTAACTAAATGAAATTGTACACAGTTTGTGCAAAAACATTTATTTAAATGAAACATTAAAAATTCAAAAGGATGATTGAAATCATGCACTGTCAGACAAAAAAGGATCATCACTAATAGTCGCTTATGAAAATGAAGCATGTATACTGTAGTGATAATCAACTATAATTTGTGTTATTTATTATTTTTTTCCCCAATTTCTGTTTAACAGAGGGAAGATTGTTTCAGCACATTTCTAGGCATAATAGTTTTAATAACTCATTTCTAATAACTGATTTATTTTATCTTTGCCATGATGATAGTAAATAATATTTTACTAGATATTTTTCAAGACACTTCAATACAGCTTAAAGTGACATTTAAAGCCTTAACTGGGTTAATAAGGTGAACTAGGCAGGTTAGGGTAATTAGGCAAGTTATTGTATAACAATGGTTTGTTCTGTATATTATCGGGGAAAAAAAATTAGCTTAAAGGAGGTAATAATTTTGTGCCAAAAATGGTTTTTAAAAAATTTATAACTGCCTTCATTGTAGCCTAAATAAAACAAATAAGACTTTCTCTAGAAGAAATATTTTTATCAGACATACTGTAAAAATTTCCTTGCTCTGTTAAAAATCATTTGGGAAATATTTAAAGGAGAAAAAAAAAATCAAAAGGGGGCTAATAATTCTGACTTCAACTGTATATAATACACACACACACACACACACACACACACACACACACACACACACACACACACACACACACACACACACACACACACACAGACACAGACACAGACACACACACACACACACACACACACACACACACAGACAAAGACACAGACACAGACACAGACACAGACACACACAGACACACACACAGACACACAAAAAGGAACATACAATTTTTTTTTAATTGTCTGATGGTAAATCACACTAAATGTTTACTATTTTAGGTCTGTTAGCATTGCCTACATGATTTACATTTGCTAAATGCCAGAATAATGAGAGAATAATTTTTTTGAGAATCGTTTATTAATTTCTAGACAGTAAAAAGTTAACATACACTTCCTTGGTATTTTTTTTATCTTTGCTTTTAAACTGAACAACTTTGGTCAGATGTTGTGGGTATCCTTTCACAAGCTTCTCACAATAGTTTGAAGGAATTTTGGCCAATTCCTCCAGACAGAATTGGTGTAACTGAGTCAGATTTGGCGGGTGTCTTGCTCAGGCAAGCTTTTCAACTCTGCCCACAAATTTTGTATAGGATCGAGGATCAGGGCTTTGTGATAGCCACTCCGAAACATTTACTCTGTTGTCCTTAAAGCACATTTCGAGTTATTTGTTAATTTCCTGGCCTCATTATGGCTAAACAGTTCAATCTTAGCTCCATCAGACCACAGGACATGTCTCCAAAAATTATTCTTTTTCCCAGTGTAATTTAGCAAATTGTAATCTGGCTTTTATGTTGATTCTGGCTTATTGATTTTCCCATGTTTTCACTAAAGGAAGCAGTGTGTTTGAGGTTTTCTTTAAATACTATCCAACAGTTGTGCCTCCAACTAACTCAAATTTTGTCGATTAGCCAATCAGAAACTTCCAAAACCTTGACACCATCATGTGAGCTTTTTTCAGAGGCACAATAATCTTAAAAGTTATAACAATTTCTCAAAAAATATCTCTCTCATTATTCTGCTATTAAGCATAACAGAAACAAATTTGCTAATTCTAATTTATCTAAAAGAGAAAAAGTTTAGTCACATTAAAATTTGACTTTATATATATATATATATATATATATATATATATATATATATATATATATATATATGAGCAATATCACACGAGTAGCAGTGTTATATGGATGTATATCGACACTGGTGGGAGGCGTGCGTTGGCACGAGGCTGCAGTGCCCCCACCAGTGCCAATATACAGCCATATCGCACTGCCATGATTGTAATATTGTGTTTATACAACAGTTTGACGGCATAATTGTGTATATATAAAAAAATTTAAACAAATCAAACATGGAGAGTCTCAAAAACCCTATTGTATGAGGAACTACTTTCTTCCACCTGGGATTCAAATCATTAGCTGACAGTTAAACAGCTGAGCAAGCATCTTTTAAAATCTGTAGTGTCTGCTTTTTGCTAGTTGTTTTTGGGCTGAGTAATACACAAAGGGTATATATATATATATATATATATATATATATATATATATATATATATATATATATATATATATATATATATGAAGATGTTGTATTCCTATTATTAAAGGGGGTGCTGCACACTATTGAAAATACTGAGCTGAAGTTTGACTTTGAAAAATGAAAAATCACAAATTAAATTTCAATATCAGTCAGAAAATTTGCTATTATATATTTATATACAAACATAAGTAAACTAATCATAAGGGAAAAAATGCAGGGATCCACGTTTGTGTTTTGTCACAAAATTGCTTAAATCTGTACATTTTATTTTATTTTTTTATTTTCAGATACAAAACTACATGGAATGCTGTGTGATATTGTTATTCTTGAACATTTTCAGGTCATTTAAAGTACAAAAATGTAATAACATTAATAGCTTTGGGTCAGTATAATAGAGATATGAATTTTTTATACCATCACATGTCTACCATGCAAGAATCATTATCGAAGTCTAAACCTACAAACGCCTTTTAATAGTTGGACCTCTAAATTGGGAAAGAAGAAACTCTTCCACCATCAAACATTCATTAGTAACTCACCCTTTTTGCCTTGTCCTGAAGTGTAGAGATCAAACACCACATTGAGAGTTTGCCTCAACTCCCATGCTTTACTTGTACATTGTTCATCCTGAGAAAGAAGAAAATGCAGAGGGTCATTAAGATGCAAGAAATTTTCCAAATCTTCAGTCACTGCCAGAATACTTTATCTTTCAGTGCTTCTTTTTTAAATTGTTTTCTATGCGCTTATTTCATGCGGCTGCCATTTTAAAACACGAAAGCATGACTGCGGTGCAAGAAACCTGGAACTACAGGATCAGCACTGTAAACATTGCAACAACATGCTGTGGACTACAAACCTCCAGCTGTTGCCGCGATTTCAAAATGAAGATATGGTATAAACATAACTTTAATATCATTCAGTTCAGTTTAAAATATACAATTAAAAGCATATTAAACATAAAAAATAAAAAGAATAATTGATAAATAAATGACGGTGCCACGGATGGCCACCTCGGTGTGGAGCTCCCCAGTGTTTGCACTGTTTTTGTTACTCTGTCCTGTTTTATGTTTATCAAACACGATCAGTTACACCAGAGAAGAGCTGCTGAACATTCGGCAGTGCACACCAACTGATCAAAAACTGGATTTCGATTTTTTGGGCGTTTTGCAGAACATTGTAATCGGCGGAGTAGCTGCACTGTGGAAACACTACAAGACGCGCAAGCGTGGAAAGCGGCCGGGGCGCTCGTTAGGCTGAGACAGCGCAGATTCAGAATGGTGCTGCTAGCATCTATCTGGCGAATCTCCACTCTCTTTCTAACAAAATGGATGAACTACTTCTGCTCACAAGCAAAAACAAGAACTTTAACAACTCTGCTGCGCTGTATTTCATGGAAACCTGGCTAAACTAAGCCATTCCAGATAGCGCATTACACCTAACAGACTTTCAGCTGTACAATGCAGACTGTGATACGGAGTCAACAGGCAAAATGCGCGGTGGTGGGACATGCTTTTACATCAACAGAAGGTGGTGTACGGATGTGACTGTGCTAAAGAAGAGGTGCTGTCCTGATGTGGAAGTGCTTTTCATTAACTGTAAGTCTTTTTAATCACCAAGAGAATTTTCCTCGTCCATTCTCATCTGTGTTTACACTCCACCACAAGCACACGTAAGTACTGCGCTGCAACAGCTAGCTGATCTGATCACAAAGACAAAACAACAACACCTGGACTCTGTTTTTATCATACTTGGGGACTTTAATCAGGCAAAACTCACACAGGAGCTGCCTCAATTTAAACAGCACATTACATGCCCCACCAGAAACAATAACATTTTGGCGATTGCTACACCACAACAAAGGATGCATATCGCTCCGTCGCCAGAGCAGCTCTAGGACTCTCCAACCACTGACTGGTTCATTTTATAACAACTTACAGGCAAAAACTTTAAACTACTAAACCAGTATTAAGGACTGTGAATAGATAGACCAACGACACAGAGCAGGCCCTACCAGCCTGTTTTGAAGGCATTGACTGGAGTGTTTTCGAAGCTGCAGCCACAGACCTGAATGAGTACACAGAGACTGTAACGTCATACAACAGTTTCTGTAAGGAGTTATGCATCCCTACCAGGACCTACTTATAAATTACAATGATAAACCATGGTTCACACAAAAACTTAGAAAGCTTCGTCAGGCCAAAGAGGATGTCTACAGGAGTGGTGGTAGGATCTTGTACAATCAGGCCAGGAACACATTGACAAAGGAGATAAGAAAAACTGGGTAAGAAAAACTATGCCAAAAAGCTGCAAAACCAGTTTTCAGCTAACGACCCTGCATCAGTGTGGAGAGGCTTAAAAGGTTTTACTAATTACAAGACACCGTCCCCCAGCATCGACAGCAATAAACATCTTGTAAACGAGCTGAATATGTTCTACTGTACAGCATACTACATGTTCAAAATGCTACCGTCTGGTTGGCGCTTCAGAGCATCAAGCACAAAAACAGCCAAACACAGGAAAAGTTTCTTTCCTCAGGCCATCTACCTCATGAACAGTTAAATATCCCCCAACTGTGCAATAAATGTGCAATACTTCTCATTCGCACTTTTACAAAGCACCTTATATCAATCTACAATGCGATACTTTCTACATTCGCATTTGTACACAGCACCTTATAACCTGTCTATTTACAACAAATCTGTACATACAACTCAACATTCAGATTTCTGGACTAACTGCATCTCTGTTTAATGTTTATCATCTTTTTTCTCATATTGATTTTGTGTTGTCACTTGTCTCTTTATGTACACTGGAAGCTTCTGTAGCCAAAACAAATTCCTTGTGTGTGTGAAGCACACTTGGCAATAAAACTGATTCTGATTCTGAATCACAATCTCTTTAAGAGTGCCCTCCTAAGATTCAGTTTATGGCACCATGTAAACACAGTGGGGGTTTTACTGCTTCAGCCTATGTAACCCAGTGAGTGATAAAACAATGCAGTCCATTAACTTAAAAAAAGAATCAGTTCATTAACTTGAATTTGATAAATGGCATCTAAAACGTGTTTGGGAAAGAAAACGTTAACTACCTAGTGCCATTTCTCTTAACTTAGCTGAAACTGAGGTCTGACATCCCTTTTTATTTTCATTATCCATTCAGAACAGACCTTTGGGTCACTTGGAAGGCGGTGAAATTGTAAATTGGTGCCGCTTTCTCTTTGCTGATAAGATATATAGCCAGGTACACAACATTCCTATTTTAAAGAATACTGGTGTAAAATGGGTTATTTTTTTGTTTTTCTCCTGTTGCACTCAATGAATGACCAACTGACCAGAGAAGGGTCTCATGAACTTAAGATTAACTTTACACCTTACTCCAAATTTCAGGAGGTAAAGAACTGACCCTCAAGCATGACTAAAATACCAGAGAAGGGTCTCATAACCTTAAGGTTAACTTTCTTCAAATTTCAGGAGGTAGAATATTGATGCTATGATAATCATGCTGACTCTACAAATCTCAAATTTATGCTTTGCGATTAGAAATAATGTGCAGATAGTTAAGAGAGAGAGAGCTGGCCTGATCAACTCACTCTTCTCTTATCTAATAAGCTGACCATTGGCCAGCACCTAAATTTTGACAACAAAAGTTAGGGTTTCTTGCTGAAATATTGGAGGCTCAGCCGTAGGATAACTGCAAATCGCTCAGCATTCTCGGGCACACATGTTGGTTTTCCAATGTGTCTGCAACCGACTCCCCAGTCTTTGAAGAGGAAAATGATGGCACATCTGAGGTTGTAATTTAGTTGTATGTCATTAATGATGTTCATGATATGATATAGAATTATTGATTATTATTGTGATAATAGATACCTGCTGTGTGTACCAGCAATAAAAAGTTTTATTGCTTGATTTGTATGGTATATGGACCTTTACTGGTGCCTCCTCTTGTCGACTAGCACCACACTTGATTACTTGCATGAACACAAACCATACTTAAACCTTTTTGGTGTACTAAAACATTTTACATACTAAAACTTTAGGGCATTTGGAATGTGGTTATGAATGTTTTGAAACATATGCTTGTTTGTTGAAAGAATTTGTAATAATGACAAAATGTATTTATTTATTATTTATTTATTGCCACATCAGCAACTTATGGCTATTTTTTAGCAAAATAGATATGCATAAAAATATTACATGGTAAAAACTATTTATAATAATAAATTTTTTTATAAATTAATAATTTGTTTTGAGTGTGGTCCTGAAATATCTCTGTTTAAAGGGATTTTTGGCTCTTCCGCTTAGCCCTACACTTTCAAGGTAAAGAGAATTGGGACACCCCTACCCTTCACATGAACGCACAAAACAAGGAGTAGGGGTAAGGAGAAGGGCTAAGGGGTAGAATTGGGATTGGGCCTTTATGCCTTGTAGACACTGGAGCAGTGATCTGACAGTCTCAATATTTTTAATAGGGACGTACATCTGTGTGTAGTCAGCATACAGGTGAAAAGACAGACAATGCCTCTTAATTATCGAACCAAGGGAAGTAGATAGAAGGAAAAAAGAAGAAGGCCTAATACTGAGCAATGTGGGACTCGATGAGACAGGGGAAGAGACACTACAGATGACAATGGCTTCTTTTTGTAAACTAACTGTCTCGCAACATCCTATTTCATTCACTTACACTGATTTTTAGCCTTAAAAGAACAATTTATGCTGCAAACTAGTATTTTTTAAAGTATTGTCATAAACATATTTGTTCTTAGAGCAAGTAGTTTGACGGTTTACTGCCGTTTGTAATTCCTAGTCATTTCTCCCATAGGCAAATGAATGGGGAATTCTAAAACAACAGCAGAAAAGAGCCACATTGGAGATTAAGGTAAAACCATTTTTTAAGAGTTGTAAAAAAAATAAAAATAAAAGCAGCTTACCTGACAGACGGGCCTGATGTGAACAGCTTGGGAGTGGAAACTGCTGTGAAAAAGCTTCTCTGATTTCATGAGAACCGCCAGACCTGCCTGCAGAAAAGGCATTAAGGCATAAATAATGCATTTAATGTTTTCTTTAAAATGTCTAATTATTACAATCAAATGTATCGATCTGGACCTTTGAACCACAAGGCAGAAGTTTCTTCCAGGGTGTCAGATTTTCAGTGCAGACAATTTCCCGTGGCAGCGTCGCATAACGTAAAAAACTGTGATCTGTAGCTGCATAGAGAGACAAATATCCATAAGAGAAGAAAATGAGATTAAACTTAGATTTTTAGATGGTAGCTACAGCAGGGAAAATAAGTATTAACCCCCTGGGGTCGAAGACCGCGTATACGCATTCTGACAAGTTTTTACCTCATTGAGCTGAATTGAACCTAAATTACACTTTCAGTTTTGATCATACAGATAAGATCAATACATAAATCGAATCTGTTTCTAAATGTGTGCACTCACAACAAAAACAAATGTGTGTGCTTTTGCAAAACAAGGATAATAAACAGTGTAGACATTCTGTCTTTTCTCTCTCTCTGTGAACTGTTTTTAGAAACGCGTCAGTAAAATGTGCTGAAACTCCGCGAAAATAAAACACCCAGAGATGAGACACATATGTTTATAAAGCTTGAAGTGTCTACTTTTAAACGCAGCTATGCATGTTGAAAACAAATATTGTTTGATAAAGTAATAAGTATAAAACCAATGCTATGTCTAGCTTTTCAGTCTGAGCACATTAGAGTTAATGCGACCACGCCCACGAAGCTTTGACATTACAAATAGCCTGCATGAGAAGCGCGCAACAGAAGACTGTGTCAGGAAAAACACGTCATTAAAATTAACTGAAACTCAGCAAATATTCTTAAAAAAGAAACATGTGAGATGTCTCTAAAGAAAGCTTGATATGTCTACTTTTGCATTAACCAATTCAAGTCGAAAACAAATAATCTCCTTTCATGTAATCCGTATAAAAGTAAGGACTGGTACTGATTCTCCTGTCACCTCATTACAGCGAACGTGATTCCGCCCGCAGTGAAGGCGCAGTTCATATGGAAATTAACTGAGGTGAGCCAGGTGATAATGTACAAGCTCCCCGAGACATGGCATAAAACGACAAGCTTTATTATAGTTACTTATTTTTGTTTGAATGATGGCACGCTACACGGGTTAAGAAGCACAGTACTAAACAGCGACAAAGAATTGACCTTCTCAGAAGAAGAGCGCGACTCTGATGACGAGCGCATGCATTTAGAAGAACGTCTTAACCCAGCAAAGGACAGAATTCCTGCCGATAAGTCTTTTATTCAAACCTTTATGATTTATATGAAATATGTGCTCACAGGCCACTTATAGTTTCATTGCTATACAAAGTGTATCCTATAACTCATAGCGTATAATAATAAACATAGGCCTATATAATGAAAAATGTAATGTTATATGAAATAAATATATATATATATATATATATATATATATAAATTATTATTATTATATGTATATTAAGTGGTAACTGAGTTTATTAGGTTTACTAGTATCAAGTTATTTTGTGTGATAGTTAAATATATTTTAAATAAACTGCAAACAAAAAATATATATAAATAAACTTATTTTTTCTCAGATTCTTTCTTGAAACTCCTGGACACTTTTAATGCTTTTGACTTTTAGTCACATACCTGTCTGATGGCTCATTATGCAGCTCATTATGCAGGTCTTTGTCTTCTCTGGTGTTACTCACTGCATAGTAATGATAGTTACTGCATAGTAATGATAGTTACTGCATAGTAATGATAGTTCACGCCTTCATGCATAAACCAGAAAGTGACTTAGAAATTTTAATTCATTGTATTGTTTTCTGTGAGCAAGTGAACAAGATGATTCTCACATCATTTTAAAGCAAAAACATCCAGTTCTCAAAAGTCTTGTGCAAAAATGTTCTCTGTGTGTTTCACGGTCTTGTTTCAGTGACTTCAAAATTTTAGTTTTTCACTAACCATGCATAAACATTTCTTTCTCAAAAACACAAACACATACAAGCATGCTGCTTAGGTATTATTGTAGCCCAACTTGTGCTGTTTACAGTGTTATCACACTTTAGCCATTAATATATTTTTAAGATACTGAAAACAACACAAATGTCAGTGCATGTCAAAACTTCTCCAGAGCTCCAAAACACCCTCAGACCCCAGAGGGTTAAACATGTCACAATTTGAAACTGCAAACTATCTTCATTAAACTTAATTTATTAATTTGAATCTCTGACTCCAGCTCTTCTTTATCTGACAGACTGGTCATTATTTGGGTCTAACTGTATATTATCCCTACAACTCGAAGTTGTCCCTGGATGTTGGTAACAACTAATAAAAACCATTTTTCAAAAAAAAAAATCTAATTAGTTTACAAATTAAGTTATGTGTAATAAAATGAAATTACGCAAGGAAAAAGTATTGAACACAAGAAGAAGGGAAGATGTAGAAAGGCAGTGACAGCCCAGACAGCAGCTGATATTTCTCAGTAGTTCTTCAGAAACTCTCTGTCCATGTCAGCGTAAATTAATATTAGCTGCTTTAGTCCAACATCTACATTATCAAGATGATGAAGATGAAACCAGAGTGGACATTTCAGCAAGACAATGATCCAAAACACAGCCAAAGAAACTGTCAAACTCTTTCACAGAAAGAAAAATCAAGCTGTAGAATAACCCAGCCAGTTACCTGACTTAAATTTAATAGAAAATACAAATTAAGACAAGATTTGATAGAATAGACCCACAGAACCATCAAGATTTTTAATCTCTGTTGAAGTCTGTGAAACACCTGAGCAATGCATGATTTTATTCTCCATATGAAAGGCGCCGCCATCACCAAACAGCCTTTTATATAAAGTATTAAATACATTTCAGTAGTTCGTCCTGCTTATGTATGTAACCCACGACTGTCACCACAGTTTAAAACTCAACTGCGCCACATCCCTTAGCAGAAGGTCCCTTTGAGGGGGCAAACCGCATTTCTGTAACCTCGTGGCTCGTCTGAGCCCACGTTTTCTTATTTTCCGGCAAAGAAACTCAGTTAAAGTTTGCGCCCAGTTAAAGCCTATCTATATTCAGTATACGTTTGTTCTATGTTTGATGTTATGTTTGTGCGTTAGTTTGTTATATGTCAGACTAGTCAATAAACCCCATTGTAATCAAATGGATTTTATTATTTGCCTCACAGAAAATATCACTGAAACGATTGATTCCTTGCTACAAGCTGTTATTAAGTTCAGAGCTTATAAATGATTAATCTACTTCACAAGTAGTAATAATTCCCTTTCTAAATAAATAGATCATTACAGAGTCCGCTTAGACGAGCGGGCGAGGTCTGGTTATATTTATTTGGTCAAATTAACAATAAGTTAACTCAGAATCTTAATGATTATAAATAATTAGTTATTATGGATAATTAATATTCATAATCTGAGAGTCCGCTTGGACGAGCTGGCGGAATCATGAATATCTATCTATCCATCCATCCATCCATCCATCCATCCATCCATCCATCCATCCATCTATAAATATATACTTTGGGAGACTGTATGGAAAGCGCCACAACAGCCAAGCCCATCGCACTCCTGATGTGTAGTTTGCCAAGTCAAAGGGTGAGCGCACTTACATCACCAAGAGCGCAACCTTCCAATGTCCCCTAGGCCCGACATATTACCATTACACGGGAATAAAATGTAAACGTTTAATTGGGGGTCGTAAATGTGCTTTTACCTAGCTAATAAAGAGTAGGGATTTTTGGAAATACGACAGTACGTTGGGAAAGCGTGCCAGTCCGCGAAGGGGGAGAAGTCAGGGTTGGCTACCGAAACCCGGTGCCATTATAGCACCGGTACCTTGGTAACCAGTATGTGCCGGTATTAAATCAGCGTATGAATTTCGGTGCTGAGGCAAGAACATAAGAAGCATCAAACGGGTGCATGAAAAAAGGCACACATAGGCGTGTCACACCATCACTAAACATTTAATTCTAAACAACTTTGAGGAATACGGACAGGCGTTTGTTATTGTCGCTAGGGTACAAACGCACGCAACGTAGTACAGCACATTCATCCTGGTTTTCGGTAAGCGAGAGCGACACTCATCAGATCTACATGCGTAATCACGTTCATCCAATTTGCTTAAACTAAGCATTTTAAAGCGTATTTTACAAGCAAGGATTCTTAAACAACAACTGTCTTAACAAAAGTTGCGTGTAAGGGGGAAACATGTCAAACCTAATGACACATCTGAGGGCTCAAAGAAAGAGGAATGCCTCTCTTGTGTGCTCTAGGTGTCACGCGCAATCGCTGCCTTGGGCACTCGCTTTCGTGGCACTTGCTCTTTCTGTGAAGGTGCTGCGTGCATCAGTTCCCCGCATTCATCAGTTGACGCCCAAATTGACACAGGTAATAAAAACATTAAACTTCAGTCATGTTAATGTTGTGAAACACTATCAAAATTTCCACTGTTGATGATATTAGTTCTGATGATAAAACTTGTTTTCAATAGCGATTTTAACACTTTTAATATAGAAAGTCCTCGGCTATGCAGAGACCATTTTTAATCAGAAATCTATTGTGCATAGTTTTACGTTAAGAAATGCAGCCTTGAATTTACAGTCGCAGCAAGCAATTTACAGCAAGTAGCAAAGAACAGATGTAGGACATTGATCAAATGTAGTTTGCAGTCAGGCTCATGTAAGTCATATTTAAATCGTTTAGCTTTGCCTTCATTCATTTTTGATTTCCGTCTTTAACACATTATTTATTTACAACACATTTTTAAACATAATAGTTTAACTCATTTCTAATATCTACTTTTTTATCTACCCCATGCTGACAGTTAGTTATTTTGCAAGACAGTTGTATTCAGACAAAGTCCCTTTAAGTATTTTATAGTTTTTTTTAATTAAGATTAAAGAGTAATTTAGACTTAATCAGTTTACTAATAAAGTTTAAATAATTAGTCAAATGATTTTGTAACTGATTTGCTGTGTAAATCAAAAATATACAGTAAATATTTCTTAAGGAGGCTAACAATACTGACCTTATTTTTATTTAAATTAAAAACAGCTTTTATACATGAAATAAACAATAAGAAATAGAGCCAGAATATGACTCCAGAATAATTATTTTTTAGGAAACACTGTAAAAAATTTTAGAAACATTATTTTAAATGAATGGGAGGGCAAAATAAATCGACT